TTTATTGAATAAAAATACTGTTGCAAAATATGCTTTGCCCATTCTCACATCCAGCTTTTCATCGCCAATTCACAATTCCCAATCGCATGTGTACACAAATGAGTTAAACACAAAAGTAAAAACACAGGGAGTCTTCCTGTCCTAGTGTGCGACTAATAATCTGTATTGACGGGTGAGCCAGTGGTTAGAATTAAATGATAGGGACCGGTTTCAGCATAACCATGGGAAGCATTGGATCGGATTAAACGAAGTCTCATCAACAACGTTGTACATTGTAAAGTGACTGCCGCGATCGATATCAAAGCGTGAGCAGCATTTGCCGACTCAGCAAGTTTGTCGAGAAACCCGATGACTTTTGGGGTTTCCCAAGTGACGCCATTTTGTCAAAGGGACAAATCTCGCGACGTTCTGCGATGACACGAATCATATTTATGAGTGACCCAAGGTGTCTCAACGATCCTGCGTCAGTTCACGACGTGTAATATTCTTTATCGTGACATTTGGAACAGCCGCCCGGGATCAATACAAGGCTCGGGACCCGGTGGAGCTAGTCTCGGTGCAACGCGACCGCGTCATGAAGACGAGAACCGGGCGATTCCCCAAGGCCTTCAACTCCTCAATGCTGCGTCTCTCCATGCCTCCAGAGGTGCTGGATGCACACAGCCTCATCGTTCGTCGAGGCCGGCACGGTCCATCCCAACACTTCTCAGTCTAGAGCCAAGAGATGAGAGAAATTCATTGAGATAAGCAGGGTGGGGGGGTTTGCCTCTGGACATCACGTGTGGAGGAAGAACCAAACACGGCAAACAATGAGAGCAGCTTTCACTTGGCAATGTGAACACGTGTACATGCACAGCCTGTTTGTCAATCCACTGTTGGATGAGAGAGCTGCCCCAAACCTGTAAGGGTTATTGGACCATCCAGAACTCCTCTTATCCACAGCCCTATTATCCGAGACTCCTATTATTTACTGCAGCTGTAGGGGTCCGTGGCCCTGTTCCTTTCTATTTCTGCAAATGTATCCATAAAGCACAGCAATGCTGCTTCCTAATATTCAGTTGTTTCATGGATAAGTTGAAGCAAATTACTTCTATAATTAGCAGGTTAATACTGGCTAATTGACAGTCATTAGTCCTATTATCCGCAATTTACTTCGGGGACAAGAGTTGTGTCAAATCCATTCTGTTACCCATAGGGTTATCTGCATTCTTTTACCCCGCAGATAATGAATTTAAATCGCAGACAAGAGGATCTCATATCACGAGGGATAAGAGTGATGTACTTCACCATGTTGGTCAGTGAGACTTGTTGGTGTATGACCTGCATTGTTCAGAATCAGAATATTTATCTTGGAGCAATCTGATGCGATATGAAGCTTTTTCACAGATGTCCAGTCGAGGCAGGTCAGACAGTTACATTACAAAGATAGGAATGCACAGTACAGGAAAGGTAAGATAGTCAATACCTTTAATGCAGTTACATTAAAAGTAACATGTGTGGAAATCTGCATACAAAAGACATTTATCCTTGCAGTTTGCAAGTTGTGTGTAAAATAATAGAAATAAAAAACAATAAATCGCACGTTGAGAAGGGTATCTCTCTCCTGCCCCTTGGGTTCAATAACAATGTACAATCAGTTATTTTTCAAGTCTTCATTCAGCCCCATAGATGAACGCAGGCGAAATGGTGCATGCGAATTAGAGGCAGCGCATTCACCTGCGTGAATGGATTTAAAGAAGAGCCATCTTAGTTCCTAGCACTGCACAAATCCAGAAAACTGCTTTAATGACGCAGTGTCACATACACTGTAGTCAGCCACTCCCACGCTCGAATCGGGGAAGTTTGCTTTGTGCAAGTTGTGCCAGGGAGCCTTTGAAAAGATGTATCTGGCCACCCCTTAATTTGGGGTTTAGAACGCGAGTGGGCGTAATGAAACCTGGTACGTACCTCTCAGTGGACGTGCGTTTCCAACCGGCTGCTTGTTCATAAGACACCAAATTCAGTTGGTGCTCGGATCGCGATGAATTGCCAAAGGACCCCTCGTTGGCTCACTCTGCAAAGAGAACGGGCGGACATGCTCGTTAGAGGTCGACCGGCAGCGCAGACACCCGCCAGCGTTCACACTTCCCTACAGCGCCCTGCGATAACGCAAGTCCAAATCATTCAACAGATTCATCATTTTAAGTCGCTGCATGACAAGGTATTTTCTTAAAAACCCACACTCAAGGAAAAGGGGGGGAGGGAGATATTTTCTGTCATGACAAATGTTTAAATTCAATCCCAGTTTGACGTTGGGACGGACAGTTTTTGAACAATGCACCGAATATTCTGTAACGCTAAACAAAGGATTTTCTGACATTAACGTTCTTGTTTTGCGTGTCATTCGACAAGTAGTCTGGCAAGAAACACGTTTTTCTCGTGGAATCCGATGAAGTCAGTTCAGACCAAGTGAAAACTCTGGCATTGAAAGGTTACGTGCTGCATTCATCTATTTGAAAACATTAAAGAAAATAAAAAACTGGCTACAAGTTTTTTTTCCCTGGGGAAATGAATGGAAAATGACGATGTTTTTGTTTGGGTTTTGCTTTCTTTTGTTTTGAGTTACCAGTCCTCCATTGCTTGCCGTCCCAGATGAATTTTGACTCCTCCACCCTGATCCGTCCATGTTGCCGTTTGAATCCTTGTGACATTGGCTTTCAGGAGTGGATTCGTTAAACATCGGTTTCGACACAAACAAACCCAGCATCACAGCTACGGCAGGCTACTGCTTGTACGTGGACCCTAGTCGGTTACACTTTTACCAATGTATCATCAAGCAAGTGAGACGCATCGTGTGAGATGGCACCACAACACCTTGCAAGCCAATGGAGGGGCTCGTGGATGCCAGCGGGACACTCCAGCCACGTTCAAAGATGCCATTTAGAATGAAACGGCTCTCATTTGACATTGTATTTGCTTCATATCAGCGTCTGTATTTCTCACCCCATCAACACCGACTGGAGATGCAATTAATTTGACATTTGCTAATGAGCGCAGTAACAAAGTTCAGAGATGCACAGATGCTCGTCTTTCTTTTTTAAATCGTAACATCACCGAGCACTGATCATTCAACACTTGTGCTCATTTTAAAACAGGACTAGAGAACGCCAATTACTAGAGACAAGGACCACGTAATAATAAAATTGAAAAACCTTGGCATGCAAACGGCCTGTGTGAATGAGCGATTGAACTGCCTCCCCCTTCACCGCTTTGGAAGGGCAATGGCAGAGGAGCTGTGAATGGGGGAAAAAACGGAAAGTCGGAGTCGCTTACTGTTTGATGAAAACCGGCAGCTCGGAGCACGGACTGGTGGTGCAGTGCCCTTGCATCTGAGAAAGCCGAGGTCTTTTTTTACATTGCTCAATCTCTCAGACTACAATCTCCCACATGGTGGTGTGAATAAAGCTGGCAAACCAATACAATCGAGGAAGTATTTTTATATTGGCATGCAGAGTTCATTTTCTGTCGCCACGTGACAACACAAACAGGCAGGCTATTCCATGCAAGTTGTTTTTTTGGTCTAAATGTTTAAAAGTGTTGCCTCTTGGTTTGGGTTTGCAGCTTAGTTTACGTGGAGATTGTAATGAGACCATGGCCACGGATGAACCGTGTACTTGTGAGAATGTTCCTTCAACTTTGGAATTCCTACCAAGGTACACCAGTGACAAAATTAACTCAATGTGAAGCAATTTTATCAGTCTGGTATTCTAAATCCAAGTTCAGTTTCGCTTTCCCATTTCATGAACCTGAACTGTGCTCACATGTAAACATTTCAATGGGGTAGCTGTGACCCACGTCGTTGTATTGCAGTATTCTTTTAATGTGACTCGTTGATGTGCCCACGATTCACCCTTCATGCTTCCGTGAAGTCACAAAGGGTAAAATGATCAGATCTTCTCAATCGTTGAAGCTCCCACAAGAGCCTGTGTCACTATTTGCATGGATGCGAAACACAACCGCGCATTTGATCAGCGCACTTACGTTTGAATGCTGGTCATGCTCAACGATGTAAGCTTAGTTAACGTTGCATCGTAATTAACATGTGAACAGGGCTTTGCTTTTGCTGATGATAATAAAGATTTGGCAATTGCATGAAGACACTGCGTAGATGCCATGTGACATGACCTCTTGGGAATGGGTAGTTGCGAGGCAGCTTGGTGTTTGGGCTTCATCCGTCGCTATGAAGCGGACTCTACAAACCCTGTGATGTTCACAAGAGCAGGGTATAGTGTACCAAAGCTCAAATGAAACATGTACTAGCCGATTAATTGAAAGCTCTCCTCTTACAAGTCTGAAGTCTCTTGCTAAGAGGATTCTCAATGGGTTTGTGCACGTAATAATTAAACAGGAATTAAACAAATTGATTGAAAAGGTTTTAAATGTTCTATTTACCGATTACCATCAGCATGGCAAAACGCAGAACATGCACGCTCTGGAGATGTAACGTGTTGCTGGCAGCCTCACTTGTGGTTGTAAAGGATGTATGGTTTGGCAATAACAGGATGGCTGCCACTGTTGGTTAAAGTGTTGGAAAACGACCGCGGTGGAACGATTATCGAGTGCTCAGCTCGCAATGTGGCTTTTGGTCCTATCCCATCATGGAGAACAGGGCAAACGACAAACGAGTAGCGACACTCCTTCAGCTTCAGGTTAAACACATTTCAGACTGCGTTTCCACAATTGACTTTGAATTGCGCATGGCCAAACCCTACTGAACGTACGAAATGTAACTTCATATTTCAAAAACTTTCAATTTTCCTTCCAAGGCAATAATCTTTTGATTGTTTCAATAGCTGTTCCACTGAAGGCAACTCCGCAATACTTTTTTATTTTGGCTTGAGATGTTTTGAGAGATGCGCCCATTTCATTTGGGTTTGTTTTGGTCACTTAAATCTGTTTAACCTGCACGACTGAGATGCTCTGTCACGAGCCCGCTTGGTGATTTGAATGGAAACTTTCACTTCTGTCTCTCTCGTTTATTTGTTTATCAAGTGTCACGACAGTTGAATTACTACAAAAACTCAAACAGCATTGCAAACACGTTCTCCCGGCGTGTACAACATCGTGAACTCCGCTGTTGCGACTGTATTTAGAAGAGAACCCAACTTGTGTTCGTTTCCGACAACTGTTAAAAACACCAGCACAGCAGTAAAAATGCAAGACGTGGGAATCGGCTCGACATTGACGTTAGAAAAGTTGACGGTTTACTCAAGATTGGGATTTTTTTAATATAATTTTGAAAATTCTGCTTTGGTGTTGAATATGTACATGTAACAGCTCCATGACGAGTGTCTGCGTATTCAGACACTCCATTTTGTTGCTGTTGGAATATTTTTGCCTCATGCGTTATTTCACTTTCCCTGGACGGCAAATTAAGGCCGATATATACCCGATGTCAACTAAAGCATGTTCCAGACCCCTTGAAATGGGCCCTCAAGCCTCCTGTAATGGTTTTCCTTCATTTTAAATCATCAGACCTATAAATCAGATGTTTGCTATTGTCTCTCTTGACATCAGGTTCCTTCTAAATGTTTTGACAAATCCAAGTGTCGATTTTCTTAATGCAAATCTATTCCGCCATCTAACATCGCACTCGTCGTTACCTTGCCATTTTAATTGGAAACATGAACACATCCTAAGACTGCACGTCTATTAACAATATACGTAAAATATTAATACCATTAATATCAAATGAGACTCGCCAAAGTGAAAAAAAATTAGGCCCCACGGCATTATGGAAAAAACCTCAAACGCCTCTTATTGACCACCAGTGGCGGCAGCATCCTGATCTAGCTGGTAACCGTGCTGCAGTACAACACTGTACTGACGATATCCAATCAAGATAAATGCCACTGTACAATGGTCACTAAGCATGTCTTGACTCAGAGTAAGTTAAAAACATTCTCATTTGCACCGTCATTTGATTACGTAGCCGATGTACCGTGTTGCACCGCCTTTTTTCAGGTGAATTAGAACTCGCATGTTTGAATACTCCACATGTGTTATGAGCATTGGAATCTATTATAAATGTTACATTGCTAACCAGCCACGCTGCCTCACTGAAAATTAAAGCGGCTGCACATTCGGCTTTTCCCATAATGCCTCACACCAGCCTAAACACAATATGACATCTTGGCCACCGCCTGCCGACGGCACTCTCACTGGCCGGAGAGTCCATGAGCTTGCCAAATAACACACATTAGTCGTATATAGTAGTAGAAATAATGACAGGGATAACAATGACAATCGGGTGGGAGGGGGACATTAACATCCAGGGCTCAGCTCTGCTCAGTAGCGGCTCCTGCCCCTAGAATCCCCACCGCGTGCGGCAGGGGGCCCATAGGAATCCCGAGCGGGGGCGCCATAAGAATCTCTGGGGGGGGCCCCGTACGAATCTCTGGGCGGGCCGTACGAGTCCCTCGGGGGGCCATACGACTCTCTAGGGGCACCTCTCCCTCCGCGTCCTGCCCCGGCCCCGCCGTAGGGGTCACGCGGGGCTCCCCCCCCGCGGCCGCCGGCCGAATAGGCATCGCGCGGCTGAAAGCCGCCGCGGCCACCGTCCCCGCCGCGGCCCCCCCGGCCTGGACGGTCCCCGGAGCCACGAGTGGAGGCGCCATAACGCGCGGTGCCGCCACCGCCCCCGTAAGCGTCGCGTGAGCTCGCGCCGCTGTAGTCTTCGTAGCGTGCGGTGGTACCGCCACCGCCAAACGAGCCGCGCGTGGGCGGGGCGCTACGGGCGCTACCTGTGGGGTTCAGTCGCAACTTGTGAATCCTACAACATTGTGGCTTTCAGCGGGTACAAAACAGTCCTGCTGCCTGCATTTAGTCCTACAGGAGCTTGAATGGACCACAAACGTTTCCGGTGCCTGCGTTTAATACCAGTGCGAGTCGATCTCAAATGTTTGATTTAGACCTGCATTTAATCCCAGCGATTTGAGTTGGTCTCAAATGTTTCCGCTGCCTGCCCTTGCAGAAGTTGAATCCATGAGTTTCAGAGGTGTGCGCTTTTGACAACTTGCCTATGAAATAATCCCACATGAACTAAACATTTTCACTTTCTTTTTGAATGTGGATTTCATTTATTCATGAGTAATTTTGTGTTTCTGAAATGGGATTCCATCAATACTTGGGAGCAGTTTGGTTCATGAGCTAGAGGTGATGAGATCTGTGTGTCGATACTCAAGAACTCTTCATTTCAGGATATAATGCCCATGCTCTGGTGGCTGTGGAAAGAACTGCACACAGGGTTTGTGGCGACACCACTAAGGCTGATTCAGAGACCACGCAATTCACAACAGACGCAGTTAAGGGCTTATAGCACTTGCATGAAATAACAGTGTTGAATTCCTGTAGCTGCTCCTTAGGGTCTGTGGAAATAGCAAAATCTGTGTATTGACGATTGATGCTGTGGTATAGCTTATAAGCCAGTGTGAAAGTCAAAATTTGAAAGCAATCTGCATCTTTTTTGTTACAGAGTTCTCTTCGAGAGTCCTTCTATATAACAATCTGAGGGCTGACACTTAAAAAACATTCCAATTCGTTTGAAGTATGAACACAATATTCCTTCTTTACATTGTAAAAGAATGAAGCAAACTTCATTTTTCTAGTTCTCATTCTCAAGAGCACATTTTTCTAAAAAAAACAACAAAAAAACACGTGTAATGATCAAAAAATGTACAAGGCAATTATAACTCCGATTCTATTTTAATCTCTCGTTGGAAAGATGCAATGTCTCTAGGACATGAAAAACATTCAGCCACTGCCTCAGGTTGCCGTCCCAAAGCAGGCATTTGTTATATTGTTGAAATGCACTTCCTCGTAATTATTTTAAACAAAATGTACCTCTCCAGAGATGGTGGATGTTTGTGAAGCTCTACGAGACTAACAGCAGCAAGAGATTAAGGTTTTACCCATCAGACAGCTCGCCATGCGCATGCTCAACTATACGTAGAGTTCGTGAATTGTATGTCAAGGACGGCAAATGTTTTCAAGAGACCCTCGATTCAGGAGATTTGTGTAGTTAAATCATCCTGGCACACCGACTCGTTCATATTCGTGCCGCCACTCAGAATATTACTGCAGCGCTTTTGACTCAAGGTGTCAAAGCAGCTCAGAGGTCAGACTGCTAAGTTGGAATCGCTGGGAATATTGGCAGCTGCCAGGGATTAAACCAGGTCTCCCAAGTGTAGCGAGTTGGTCTTGGATCAGTGACCAATGACTGCATGCAAAACAGATCAAATTAAAATTGGTTCTGCAACTTAATATGGATAAAGTTCCAGCTCAGAAAACTAAGAAATATTGAATCGACTGCAATGCAAACATGAATCTATACCTAGGTGTGGGACAATGTTGCACCCCCCTCCTAGTACATGGCTTAAAAAAATTGTGACATCTGCACCTGTGGGCCCCTCCAACCTATTTGAAGCACTGCCCTGTGAGCGCTGCAACCGGATTGTTTTTCTATGGATGCGATGATTTTGACCGTCAATGACATATGCATCAATACACCACGACAATCATATTACTTGAATTAGCAACTATGTAGTATGTTCACACTCGTCGTTTTGTACGGTAACAACTACAAAGACAATAATTTGGGGCAGGTTTTCTAAAACGATAGTACGGTGTGCAAACAAAGTTCTGGATGTTTGGGTAAAGGGGGCAGTAGTGATGGCCTTTATTAGCATAAACAATTTTCTCCAATCACATGCCAGTTTACCGATAAAAGCATAAGACCAGATCACCTGGAAATCATCTGATCCCATTAGATCTCAGAAGCCAAAGCAGGTGAGTGGCTGGATAGTGCTTGGATGCATAAACAGGTTGTCTCACGAGTGGAAAAGGCAGGGCAGCAAATAATGAAAAGTCCTGTTTCCCCGTCTACTCTCCCAGCTTTAACCAACCTGCACTATCGTGAGGCACGGTCAAATAACCCAATGACAGAGCAGGCTGCGCTCATCCAGCAGTGGATTAAGAAGTGTTGTTGTACATGTCCACTGGGAGCATGGGTCAAGCACATCACTCGTATGCACATGCACAGCACTTTAGTCAACCCACCTTAAGGATTAGGGTTTCCGCACACCATGCCCAAGAAATGTAACCACACTTTGCCACGCTGGTCGACGTAGGTTTAAAGCAATGGCAGGAAAAAAGGAAGGTGCTGTCAGGGAGTAATAAGGCATGTGATTTTTGACTGGAAGGGGAGGGGCTCGATAGGGGGGAACCGATTGAAGGGTTGGTGGGGGCACTCACTGTAGCTGTCATAGGCGTCCCTGTAGTTTCCGCCACTGGCGCCGTAGTCGCGGGACTCCCGGCTGGAGTAGCCATCACGCTCACTGCCACGTGGAGACCACGGCGAGAGGAGCACAAGTGACAGCAGGAGACCAAGTCGGTCAGGAAAGAGGGAACGCACAAAAAGAAAATCCATGAGCAAACACGATAACACATGAACAATGCAGAGACAAAAACATGCACAGGTCCCTCACCTTAACCACACACCTGTACCAATATGAACTTACTCAACCATCTATCACTCACCCATTCCCACACCACTCACAGATGTCACACTCGACTTCACGCACTCAACCGTACCCACATGGAGTCACTCACCCGTCTCTACCTCCCCTTACTCACCTATACCCACGTCACTCACCCGTCTCTACGTCACCCACTCACCCGTAGGCACGAGCCCCTGCTCTGTACCCGTCGCCCCTGTGTCCCCCGTAGTGCTCTTGTGAGTCTGGCGAGCCTCCATAATCCCTGCCGGAGTAGCTGCACCAACACACGGCGCTCAGTGTAAGCTCAAATTAACAATATTATTCCCTCTTTAACATCACGGTGAACGTCAGTGCCTCCAGCGACTGCAGGGGTGAAGAGTCTCATTCTGTATGGTGCATGTTCAGTTTGGAGAAGCCATTCGATGGCGTTGGGGAATGCCAGATGGAGTCTGTTTGTACCTCGTACAAAAGCATACGTTCAGCAATGATCGGTCGCATGGGTGATGGATCACACTTCATTCACAACTACACCGGCATAGGCTCGTATAGAGACCCATGCACTCATGACAACCCAGACTCGCATAAAGACCCGCACTGTACAACATGTTATGTGATCTTCCATGTGTAGTTCTAACAAGGATCAGCACAGACTTGTAGGGGTGATGTGAACCCATTGTATACAACAATCAAACATCATTTTAAAAAATGTTTTTCCATATATCACGATCTTAAAAAATATATGAATTGGTTCGACTGCCATGTCATTAATATTAGTGGCTAGGCCTGCGGGAAAATTCGATTCTGTGGGCCAGTCACTAACATGGAGGGTTCTACCTCATCTCATGACATACCTAAAGTGCAATTGTCATTAAATTGGATACATTTTCGATTTATATTAATCGATGCAAACCACCCCTGATTTGTTTAATTATGCCATTGCTGGCAAAGGTGTGCGCAGTGCTCAGTACTTCTTAGAGGACAAAGTGAAATAATCAGGTATTCAGCACAGAAGTTTCATCACTGCACTGGGCTAACCCTCACTGAAGTTCACACAAGCAGTGCCAGCTGCATCTACATGGGTATCGTCCTGTCATGGAAACAACGCCCATCTGCTGGCCAAACCACCTTGCGTGTCGTGTCAGCTTCCTAAGAGATTGACTGTGCTTTTCCATTATGATGTAACGATACACACGTATCTGCGCCATCTACACAAGACAAATGCGTGAAGAAACTGCCCAACACGTGCATAAACGCATTGGCAATGCTCGACACCGGGAGGAAACTGTTGTATGTGGGGGCAGACACGGGTCGCACTGGGTAAAGGAGGCGTTGGTGTCGTAGCCATTGCACTGAACTCCAATGCCAGAAAAGTCAATGAGATTGACTACACTCAGTAATTGGTACCTGCAACTCACCCAGATTTACCAGAGATTACTGGTTAACAACTGCTGTTATACATCCACCAAGTGTCAATGCATCTCTAAAAATATTCAATGGAGTCCTACATCGAGTACCTGGAGAACACTCACAAACAGCGAGATAATGTTCCCTCATCTCACTCCTCAATCCCTCTAAACCGCCGCTTGTCCACCCTTACCCTCCTTCCCGGGGGGTATAGTAGTCGTCGTAGTCGTCGCGCCGTGACGGGGGGCCGTCTCGGCGAGCTGGGGGGCCTCCGTAGCCATCCCTGTCACGGCCTGCAGCACAGGGTACCCCCAGAAATGGTTTCAATACTCATACAGTTTCCCTACACAATCACAACTTCCCCTCACCACTCGCCAGGGATATGTGGTAGAAACAGGCAGGTGCTATATTACAAATAAGTCCATTAAATTTATATTTTTCAAATGGTACGTAAATTAGAACTCTAAGGAACCCGTTCTACATAGCAATATTACATTGATAATGTGAATTGAATGCATTTTGCCTATCTTTCAGTGTGGTCTCGTAAACACATTTTACTGTGGCTCAATGATGGGTTAGGGAATTTTGAGTGTCCAGTGATTTCTCGTCATAGGAGGGATGTAACGTTCAAAGCCCCACACAGAATAGATTTGGACTGAAGATCAAATGCATTACTGTTGGTGGGAGTGCTTTATCTTTTGCAGCTCCTGTGTAATCCACTACATTCATACATAACAGCTCCCTTTCAAGTTTCAAATTACAATTCTAAACTTAGTTTGCTGCTGCCTACGACTTGTGTGCTGGGCCTTCATGATATTCAGTCTATTGGGGTGCCGTTTGCATGGATGACGCTGCATGGGATGAAACTCGTTGTTGATATGTACTTTCGTCGATGTTGGAGCTTAGGTGTTTGCCATTGACCCAGCTGCTTCGTGTTGCGCTGCCTTCTGTACCCTTGATCCTGTTTTTATTTCGTTTCTATGGTGTTCGTGCAATTTTTTTTTGTTAACGTGGTTAGTGATGTTCAGCATTGAGATGTAATTTGCATAAATGTAATGACAAAATAATTCTTAACAAAATTCAATCCTGCTTAGGTCTCACTAATCTGCATCTTTCGTCTATAGCACTAATATCGTGTTTATATTTAATCTCACTAATCTGTACCTCTCTTCTTCCGTTATCAGATCCCTATCTCATTAATCTCTCGACAGTTTTCAAATCAGTGTTATCTCTTTCCACTAACTAATCCATATCTGTTTCAGGTGGGCCAAAACTCTCCGTGGCCCATTGGACGGACACCAGTTGGATCAGTTCCTAAGCTGACCGATGCTCAGAGTTTCTTAGAGGAAAAAACACAACAGCACGGTCGCCTCAGTGCTTCACTGCTCATCACGGCACCGGGGTCATTCGCACTCCTTGTGTGATTCGGGGTCGCAATTCTAGAACCATTTTCCATCCCCATTGGGTGGTCATGTGGAATATGTGACATTGAGTTTTGTTTACGTGATGTTACGATCACTTGATTGCGCCCCGCAACTTATCAGATCTTGGAAGCGAAATAAGTTTGAGCCTGGACAGTGTCCGGATAGGTAAGTGCTCTGCAGAAGAGCCAGTTGATGGAGGAAGTCCAATAAGTCCAAGATTGAGTCAGCGAGCTAGCTGCAACGAGGGAGGGACCCTAGTGATGAGGAGCCTCACCTCGGTAGGATCCGCGCCCACCCCGGAAGCCAAACCCCCGATAAGAGCCGAATCGACCACCGCCTTCGAACGATGGTTTCGTTGCCTGCTCCACCTTGATATTCCTGCCATCCAGGGGCTGTGGCAGGGGAACATGCACACACGCGGGGGGGGAGAAATCACGAGTCCACCGATGGGTCTTGTGTGTCAAACTAAATCGTTACGGCCTTGAGTAGAGGGATTGTTAACCGCCCTGGATACACACACAAATACAACGTACAGGGAGAACATATTCCAATAGTTCATTCCTGCATCACCCTGCAAACCCAACTACACGAGTTTTGTTCCTGGCTGCGATATCAACAGGAGTGCATTTCTAAACCGGCGCGGGGTTCTCTCCCCCCCTCCTGTCTGTATCAGGACAGCCACATTGGTGTTAGTGAGGCATTGTTGGCTCCACAATCATTCAGGGCGACCATGTAGGTGGCGGCCGAGTGTAAACTAGGAACCAGTTTAATCTGTGCCTCGCGTGACACAGTGAGGGCAAGGGGAGGCCATCACTGTAACGCCTAGCGGGGCATATGTGAGATGTCGGGTTAAAGCATTTGGGTTCTATGCAAGGCATCCTTATTACAAAGTGCTCAAATGCCCTGGCGTGAAAGGCATGATAAAAAAAATAATTATTGCATTATTCCGACTTCAAATCAGACAGTTGTAATATTAAGACAATTTCATGCTTGAGCCTGTGTGAACATTATCAGTTGAATTTATCTATGAAAAGTCTGTGGAACTCATTGCAATAGTTTTGTTTTGGGCAATTTTGTGACCTAGGTCACTCTTGGAAACGAGACTACTCTGGTCTCAAGTTCAAACCTGGCCAAGCAAACAGATTAATCTTAAACAGTGTGTGGAACTAATCAAGTGTTTTACTCTGACCAGTGTGGTGGAACCGAGGGGGGTGCAGATTGCACGGGTCACAGCACTCACCTTCCCGTTCATGTCCCTCTCGGCACCCTTCGCGTCGTCAGGGTTCGCAAACGTCACAAAGGCGAAGCCTCTGGAGCGGTTCGTCTCCCGGTCCTTCATGATCAGCACTGGGGAGGAACACGAGTAGATATTAGAGACAGAGCCATTGAGAAAGAAAGTACAGCAGAGAGGGGCACAGAACCAAAGGAGATAGACGGCCCACAGACAAAACAATGACAGAATATAGAGGCATGAACTAAGGAGTAGAAGACAAAAACAAATGGTAAACAGGACAGGAGGTGAATACGGGAAACATAGGAGGGGACTCAAAGACTGGAGACTAGTATGGATCTCGATGGTGGCAAGCTCAGCGCTGACCTCCGGGCCACCCCTAGTGTTCATAAGTAGTCAGTGCTCAGTACTTCTTAGAGGACAGGATGTGAACATCATTTGTTCTCAGAGTTGAAGATTCATCACAGCACCGTGATCACAACTTGGATCACCTGACCGCACACATCACAGCCTTCATGTATTACTAGGATTTGGGGTTAGCCACTTTGACCATCTTTAACAATCATTTTCCTGTGCATTATAAAAGTCGGCGAGAGCATAAAATTACATGAAAAGATTGGACAGTGTGTGTGCAGCAAGTCATTAAACTTGGCTTACAGTGCGTGTTAATATATATTTGTTTTAGTACAATTTTATTCTGCTATATTTGTTAAGGGTTGATTACTTTCTGTAAAGCAATGTGAGGCCTTGTGTGAATGGCACTGTTCAAAATGGAGTTTTCGTTCATTCCTGCCAGAACCCAGTTAACGAAGTAGTGGATTAAAAGCATTATTTATTTTCGGTCAGATCATGGTCTCCACGTAGGGAGTGATGCCTTACTCCCCTATTTCGTAATTCAATGAATTGATTCAGGCTAATAATTAGATTCAAGAATGAATCCAGCTTTTTGAACAGTGGTATGACCATAGTAGCCTGTATTAGCTGCTGGGGTCAGGTGAACCGATTACACACAAAATATTGAATTCCTAGATTTATGTTCAAGCCATAGGATGTGTGAACAGGACGAAATTAAACTATAATCGATTAAAAGCTGTATCCATACACTATAAATAAACATATGCACAAGATGCTCGGGATCTTCTGGACAGAATACAATATTGGCTCTGTACAAAAAACACTAACTCAAGTGCCAACATAATGCAAGTTTCTCTGATAGAACAGGGTTGCAAGTTACAAAACAATCCAGTAGTGACCACCACCTGCCGCCTTGTGGAAGCAGTAAGGCATCTTCTCTGGGCTCCGACACTTGCGTACAAGTGGTCGGAGCCGAGAGAAGACCCAGATAAGACGCGTAATAAATGGGAGCGCACCTTCAGCGACCCTCCCATACTTGGAGAAGATCGTCTCCAGCGCGTTCTCATTTGTATCGGTGCTGAGTCCCCCGATGAACAATTTCCCTGGGTCGACCTCGCCCATCTTGAGACAAGAGTTCCTGCAAGAAACGCAAGTGCAGTTAAACACGACACGGCGGTACGTACCGACCAGTACCAGGGCTCAGCCATCTCGAGAGCATTAAACACAGCAGTTTAGTCTTATTTCGTATGTCGAGATGCAGAGATAAGCAACTTAATTTGGAACAGCAACAAAAATAAGTCTAGATCACTTAGCCATTCAATGGAGTTGGCTGCGAGCTCATCAATTGCTTTGATTTGGCGTTGACCATGTACTGTTTGCAGTCGTAGGCACCGTTTTATCTCGGACAAGATAGAGTGCAAGCGAGTCTTAAACACAAATCAGCACGTGTGCACGCCTTGCCCTATGATAAAATTGTATACGGGCTGGAGAATAAGCACATCGTAGTCTCCAACCTGTATCCACTACCTCTGGCCTCGGCAATGTACCGCCACATTTTTAATGTTATCTGCCCTATTGATGCTTTCTGGTCAGAGGTCGTGCCCTACAACACGGCAAAGAAACGGATATTCCAGCACCATCACAACGCGTGTATGAAACCACAACCTCGTGTGAACGGTCATGTTCGGTTTTCGAAGTACAATACAGGTTAACTTTCCTTAACGTTTTACTTAAATCAATATTCAGTTACATTTGAAAAGTCACCGCATAAACCTTCATGTCAGACTTTGCATTGTTCCCGAGGGCAGTCGTGCTGTACGATATGTTCCCCGCATGCACCAGCGTACAACCCCCACGACCCGGTAGGGCGTGTGGCGAGGCCCCCATCATCCAGCAGCAGACAGCATCCGCCCACGTGGGGATCACTCGACGAATTTCGGCGTTAAGCGCATGCGCAGTGGCGCCATCAGAGGGCTCTTTCAAAGGCCTGGTGGGTGGGGATCGGTAACCTGCGAACGCGATTGGTCTAGAGGCGACACGTGATCGGAACGGGCCAATGAGACGCAACCTCTCGGGGCCACGACGCTTAACATGGCGGTTTAAAACACGCGGCCCGGAGTTCGCTTTCATTATCCTAGCTGTAAATACATCGGCTTAAATAAAAAAAAAATACTGAGAATAAACGATTTAGCTCGACGCGGCTCGCGGGGAAAAACTCGATCGCAACGAGGCGCCTTCACCGCCCCCCCCGAACAATAGAAAATGGCCGCGAAACAAAAAAGCCACCTTTTTTTCCAAAAATGTCCGCATTAAAACACAAATGTCTGCATGCGGCGAAATCGCCTAGACTATAAACGTACTATAAACGTAAGTGTGCAGATAAATAAGAAATAAAACATACCTTAATTAAAATCCGCGGAGAAAGCACGACACACAGCCACTCACCTAGAAAGCCACGAACAGAATGGCGGAGCGCGCAAAGGATTGCGGGAGGGTGCGTCACGTCTCTCATATAGCCGCACACATTATGTTAATGACATAGCGAAGGTTTCATTGGTACGCATAAATTATGCTACTATTAAGAGCATTCGATTGGACTGCTTAAATTATGTTAATCATATGTATTGTTTGATTGGCTTCTGCGTATTTAAAATGGATTGGGATTCGATCGTATAAAATGATGTTCAACTACACATCTACGTGACTTTACCGAAAGACCCAAAGAATATGAATTCCTGCAGTGAACGAAAACTTGAAGTCAAGATTACACATTTTATTGGCTCATTTTTGAATTACTCTGATACGTGTATTTTATTGCTTTGAATAGCTCAGGAATTATTAGCATTTAGTATTTGATTGAGTTCATCCAGATACTCTTGGTTATAACATAAATTGTGTTCATTTACGCAGGGATAAATTTCGTGAAAATGTTGAATGCTTAGTGAACGTTAATTCGGACACGAAATTACAATGTAAACGATTATCGATAAATTACGTTCATGATTCCTCGAGCTTTGTGAACAGAATATAAACGTCTGCTTGAGGGTTGTCAAAATAATTTCGCAATAACGGTAACAATGAAAAACCGGTAATAACCGGTTACCGTTTTCCGCACATTTAAAGATGTCTCGGGAGTAATCGAAACACTTTGAATGGAGAAGCGAAGGGAGCTGCCATTGGTATAATGGGGAGCACGCGGAGGAATTGCCAAGAGGTCGCCGGTTCGTCTCGATCTCCCTGGGCGGCAGCTGCGACAATGGGGCCGTTCTCTCACTCCGCGGGCAGGCCCCGTGGGGCGGCCGGGCCCCGTGGGGCGGCCGGGCCCCGTGGGGCGGCCGGGCCCCGTGGGGCGGCCGGGCCCCGTGGGGCGGCCGGGCCCCGTGGGGCGGCCGGGCCCCGTGGGGCGGCCGGGCCCCGTGGGGCGGCCGGGCCCCGTGGGGCGGCCGGGCCCCGTGGGGCGGCAGGGCCCCGTGGGGCGGCCGGGCCCCGTGGGGCGGCCGGGCCCCGTGGGGCGGCCGGGCCCCGTGGGGCGGCAGGGCCCCGTGGGGCGGCCGGGCCCCGTGGGGCGGCCGGGCCCCGTGGGTGGCTCGTGTCGTGTCCAGAACGCGCTTCAGCGCCGTACGGAGCAGCCAGCCGTGACCATCGGAGGAGCGGGGAAGTCGACCAAACAACAGCTCGGACTCATTTTAATGGGAGGCTCTTCCTCCCCCAGCAATGACCAGCAGTGGCGGAGGCATTGCTCCGTTTTCAGTGTCATTTATTGTGTAGAGCCCTGTGAGCCACGAGGCTCTTGACTCGGGTTCAACCGCAACGAACAAAGAACATCTTAAAGTGCCGACGCGCAACAGAAACATCCAGGAAGGAGAAACAGCAAATACTTTCAGAAAGAATCACCGCACATCCACGCTGTGCGAACATCCCAATGGGATGCAAGTCGAACAATCACAACCATAAGACAATTTACGTAAAGTTGTCAGGCTAACTCCATACTTTAACTAACATGGCTTAAACATACTTTTCGAAATTACCAAAATTAAGCTAAAAAAACTATGTAACAATGATCACAGGAACGGATTCAAATGTAACAATAAACGATATAAACACAACACGTAGACCAAACTTTGCATGAGTCACTCCACAACAGCAGGGGCATCAAACATGTACAATTCACCTCTAAAGCTCAGCAGCACACTGAGACACGAAGGGACACGTTTTGAGGCCGCGGTGCGGTTTGTACGTTCGCCCATTCCGTGTATTCAAATTCTATCTATTTAGCGAGTGAATTAAGTAGCAACTAAAGACGACGTAAAGTGTTCATAGAGCTGATGGTGGCTTCCAGGACCTCGGGGCAGGGTCGCTTGGTGGGAAGGGTGCGGGGAGTCCAGGCCAAGCGCCCCTCTTGTCAGAGATCGGCGCCCTTCCTTTACGTTGGGTGAGGCCACGACGGTGACCCCAATAAGGTTACATGGGGTGGGCTTCAGGCGTTGCAGCCATAGCTGCAGCATTGTACAAACAGGACTATTGCAGTACCAACAAAGCAGAACGATGCACTGTATAATGAAAACCTTGTAAGCAATTCAACACATTGGGTAACGATAAGATTAGTGAAGTGTTTACTGGTTATCGTTCCAGGACCCCAATCCGCGTTAACTTGGCTTAACGCTTCCCACAGGCGGTGATGGTGCGTCTGTCGCCGCACGAACAATGCGAGCCCACGTGAACAACGCGAGATATTCCGCTTCGAGACACGATTCATTGCAGCATCGATTATATACCACGATTCTTGCTGCGCAACACCCAATATTAGTGTAAAGCGATTCAGCGGGGCGATTCCATGGATCGATTACTGCGTCGTTTTTGGCGGGAAGCGAGCGCGCGTGGCCCCGCCCTCCGTGACGTCACCGCTAGTCTAACCCCGGCCTGGGCCGGGCTCGGGGAGGCCCCGCGTCTCCCCTGCACTCTCCGCGCTCTCCCCTCGCCTCGCTCTCCCCTCGCCTCGCTCTCTCCGCGCTCACGGCCCCACGGAGGCGCCCTCAGGTGAGCGAGAGACGCAGCCCGCGAGGCGTGACCGTGTGAGGCGTGGCCGTGTGAGGCAAGCTCGGCGCTTCAGCACACCGTGGCGGCTTCTTCTCGTTAATGCGGACGCGCGGTCGTGTTGTGCGCGCGCGCGCCGCCAAGCTCCGTGCGTGGCGCGGGAATCTCATGGCGGTGCTGTTGACGGTGATGTTGATGGTGCTGTTGATGATGGGGCTGTTGACGGTGCTGTGCGCGGCCGCCATGTTGGGTTGGTGTCGCTGTCCGCCATTGTCAGGCGAGGGGAGGGGCTACAGCCCCCACAGCCCCCACAGCCCCGCCCCTCACCCCCTCGAGTGGGCACGCCCCTCGCCCCCCCTCATGATGTCATCCGCAATGCAGCCCCGCCCCTTACTCCACGCGCACAGAATCAAACTAAATTCTCAAGTGCAGCGAGTTGATGGTCTGAGCCAATTCGCCAATGGCCGCACAGAAACCAACCGCTTTCAATCTGTTTCTGCACTCAATTTGGCCGCATTCCTGCGCTGAGAATTGCAAGAACAGTTTGTCGTTAAAAGGACATTTATCTCCGTAGCAGGGCAGGTGGGAAAGTGCTGCCCCCTAGTGTGCTGAGCTGGTCACTTAAAGCAGATTCTACGGTATCTGCTTCTGTGGGCCATTTGTTAACTGCCCTGACACCGATAGCACAATTGAAATTAAATTAGGAGAAGATTTCAATAATGAGGCTTTGCTCAATAAGTCACCTCCATCGTGTGTGGTGTGTGTGCATTTCCAGCCATGGCGAATATCAGTTGGGAACATGTGAACCGGCCTAGGATCTCCCCTCTACCGACTCATCCTTAATATGTGTGGTGTAAACATAACTACTGAGGAGACTAAGGCAGCTAGGTGGTTATTCTGGCCATGCCACCTTGCACGCAAAGCCACCTTTAATAGGTGCTTGCCTGAACGTTTCTCTAAACAGTCTTTGTCAACCGATGTAGACGAAGCGACATAATGAATCGCCAGCTATGATCAATCCACTGCTGGATAAAGGATCCACAAGCCTGTGATATAACAATCTGGCACCTGAACCTCGAGTTTATTTTATCCCTGCAGTGGATGATCTCCTGGGCACGTTCACTACTTTGGCTGCCACAACCCAATAAAGTATCCAAACTAATTCGCAGTGCCAACATAGAACAGAGCTCCTAATGTAATGAGTGCTTTGATATTCCTGCCATTCTTAATGTGCAAGGCTATTAAGACGGTGCTGTGTTCACAGATGGGTACAGTCTGCCAGTGGGGGCCATGCCGCTGTGTGGTTTTGCTCAATATGCGAGTAATGTTTCACATTCATTACATTTTTACGGTGACCTGGGCACACATGGCCTACACTTTTTTTTAAAACGTTAAGGGATCTTTAACGTCAACCGTGAAGGAGACGGTGCTTAGCCATTACGGTGAATACGTGTATTAACCAGGGCGGCCGCTGAACTTTAACCACCACGAACATTTGCAACAGATGGCAAACGTGCTACCGTTATGTCACTGCCCACGGGAAGCTGGCTTTGCAGGCTACACGAAGCGAGTGTGTTATCTTGTCGGCGTGAAGGCCGTCCCGAATGAGCCGTGGCCATGGAGAACGAGGAGGACAGCCTGAGCACCGAGCTGCAGTTCCAGGAGGAGAACGTGGTCACCACGGTGATGGGTGAGGAGGAGGAGGAGGTACATGACGCAGGTGAGATGCCTTTCCCTACCCTCGCGTCTCTCACACTTTGCCTATGGTTTGTGCAGGGTCAGTGATGTCACTGCCTAAAGCCGGCTCCACCCCTCAACAATCCGTTGCACTATAAAATCATACCCAAATTTGCCTGCAACTGCTATGTACGCATTTTACCGATTAGTTGTGCAACAAGGAAATTATACGGCGCATTCAGGATTGTAATGACAAATCACAGTTGACATATGCTTGTGTGTGCCACCGTTTGTGGTGGGGAGTGGTGGTGCAGTGGTTAGCGTGCTGCACTTCGAACCCGGCGAAATGAGTTTGATTTCCGTTCATAACCAATAACAGTGATGGATCATTGAGCTGGTCCTGGGCATCCTCTAGGTCGACTCAGTGATAAATGAGTACTGTACCTGGCGTGGTATATAAAATCACCACTGGGGAGATAAAGACGGCTGGGTGTGGCTTTATCCACTCACCCCTCCGAGCCAACCTTGATAGGTGTTCGATAATACTTGCCCAAACATTCTGTAATAGGCTATACAGGTGATCTTTGTCTTGCTGTAATATGCATGTATTTGTGGTGTACAGTATATGCATGGTGCTTGATGTGTTTGTACTCTGTGTGTGCTGTGTGATGTCTCCCTTGTGTTTTGTTACATATGTGATGTTGCAGTGGCAATGTCTCCGTGTCTGCTGACGCCACCGCACGGGAGCCTTGCGACTGATGCGGTGACGAAGCTCAGCTCATCGGTCACAATGAAGCCGGCCTCCGCCTCCCAGCAGGAGGAGGAGGAGGAGGGCACGTGCAAGGGTTTCCTTCTGTACAGCGCGTCGTGCCACACCAGCACGGGCCCAGCCACCGCCCTGACCAGCTCCCCCATGCTCACCACCCTCGCACTCCCACACCTCCACTCCTACCCGGCCCCTCCAGGTGGGTGTCCTACATGGGAAGCAAGGGGGCACATTTGGAAGTTAGATATTCAAATCTTAGGGTGGGTCTCTTCTAGGTCGACTCAGACTTAAATGAGTACCTGGTACGTTGTCCACATCAGCACTGGGGAGAGACAACAGACGGCTGGGCGTCGTGCTCACCATTCCCTTGTGTACAGTCCCAGCCTATGTCGGTGCTCACTCACACTTGCCCCGACCGTCTGCTTAGGCTAAACGGGGGATCTTAGTTTCTGTAAGGGCAATGACATGGCCCAGCAGGAGCGTGTTGGCCGCATATTGCAGAGGTTTGCGGTTTGAACCCAGCATCAGTGAATTCTGCGGGTATAGTAACCATAAATATACACTGTGATTCACAGTGGATGTTAACTACATTCACATTTGTAATCGAGTAAGGCCATGTGTTGCCAGTGTCATGGGCCAAATTCACACAGCAACATCGCCCCCTACTGCAGACTTACAGCCCACTTGCAGGTTGATGCTGTGTTCACCTTGTGCTCAGCAGCACAGGGACAGCTGTCACAAGACACGGTTCCCTTGGCTCGACTGGGCTGTTCCGCTTGGGAGGCACTATATGGATAATTATTAGTGGTGATCGTTTGTGTGTGCGCATGTGCGTGTGTGTGTGCGTGCTTGTAAAACATGGACCCCTCTAATAGAACCTCTGCGCCAGTTATAAACATTCAGGCTGGCATGCCTACCATCCATCTTGAGTTTAACTAGGCTGGATTGTGTGAGGAGCTCACAAATCTATGAAAGATCTAGACACATTCGCATCAGTTAGTTCCTCCGGCAGGCAAGGTCACGTTGGCTGGGTCATGTCGCCCACATGCCCATCCACTGCATGCTCAAGCAGCTACTGTTTGGCCACATAGAGGGGGCTAAACGGGCACGACATGAGCTTGAGAAGAGATGGACTGATGCGGTACAGGAGGATGTGGAGCCGAGTGGACTTGCCGACGACTGGTACCAGCAGTGTCAAGATCTGCCTCTAGGGAGGAGGCTCGAGAAGGACGCTACTGGGCAGTTGGAGGCAGTCGCCCTCAAGCAACAACGTAAGGCAGAGGAGCAATTCTCACAACTACGAGCGGAGCGCCGGGCAGCTAAAATGCAGCAAGTTAGCACAGTAGGGGGTACAGCTGGTACATCTTCTGGTCATCTCAGTCAGCCAACCCCATGGCACCTGGGTCTGTCCGGAGACCTGTCAGCGATCCTTTGACACTTCACATGGCCTCAAATAGCACCTGGCCTGGCATAGGCGCTGTGGTGATGTCACCGTCACTTAGTGGTGAATGGCGGGTACTGGTATTGGTGCATGCGTGTAGCCAAGTCAGGGCCTGGCAAGGGAGAGCAAGGCAACTCGCAGACTCCCAAGGTGACTGACAAGGGGGTGCAGGACGGGAAATATCTCCCCGATCTCATCAAAGTTTACATCTTCAAGGCTGACTCCGACAGCAGTCAGGGTAATGCAGCCATTCGCATAGGTCAGCTGTGGTGTGTGTGTCACGTGCCATGTGTGCAGCGAGTGTGGTGTGTGTAGGGTATGTGTCTCGTGCCGTATGTTTGTGTGATGTGTTGGTGTGCGCCACGTTCCATGTGTGTAGTATGTCCATGCCATGTGTTTTGTTGTCTTCACCGCACGTTCGTGCATGTGGTATTACTTGTGTGTCTTGTGTATACCTGTCAACCTCTTATCAGTGCCTACCTTATTACAGACCAATTCACACCTCATTGTTCACCCTGTCTCCTTATAAATCTCAACATTCATCCTACAAAGTCCGATCACAAGGGAGAAACACAAATAGACTAAAAAATGTTTGTACCTATTGAAATGGTTGTACAATGTATGGACCCGAAAACTCAATTTGCCTGTACAAGAATACAGGTGAACTGTATGGGTTGACAGGTATGCTTGCATGCCATGTGTGTGGGGTATAAGCGGTGTGTGTATGTGGTGTTCACTGCACGCTCCTGTATCTCTCACTGCGTGTAGGTGGCAGTGTCACGGTGGACCACAGCGACGTGATGCCCGAGGTCTCGCTGGACAGTGCTGGCTCGCTCGCCCAGCAAGACAAGATGGTCTACATGGCCGTGAAGGACTCTGAGCCAGAGGGGGAGGATGTGAGGAGTGAGTGTGGCTCTCCCAACCTCTTCCCAACTCTCCCCTACCTTTCCCCAATGCTAGCCCCAACACAGGCTGAGCCTTGAAGCTTCAATTAGAGTAAAACACTCGGATTGTAGAGATACCGTAAAGTGTCTCAATTAGGTAAAACATATATTTTTGAACACTTTCCAACCAACTGACTGTAATGTGGGGACACGATCATTTTTGTAAAGATGATCCGATATGAATAACATTTTGTATCAAGCTGTGTTGCTGTTTGTTACTGGTTAAATTCACCACGGGTATGCGAACAAAAAGTGGTTGAAAGATAAGCCTTGGCCTGGGTGATAACGTGTGTGTGTGTGTGTGTGCGCCAGGCTGTGTGGACATGACGGACGAGGTATACATGGAGGTGATCGTGGGCGAGGAGGAGGAGGGCGTTGCTGTGGTATCGGAGTCGCCCCAGGGTGACGTGGCGCTGGGCTGTGACTTCCTGCCTGTGCCGTGGACGGTGGAGTACAGTACGTGGGGCATATGGGGTCACTGAGGGTCAGGGGTCACTGAAGGCCGGGGGTCACCGAGGAGAGCGGAGTCTGAGATGGTGTGAGATATCTTCTCACCCACTGTGGGTCAGGCGATGCCCAGCGAATCCAGTGACTCGCAAAGTGCCTTCCTGCTCCAACACGTGTAGGCAGTGCTCATCTTTATGTATGTTGAACTTCTTTCACACAGTATGTAGTCAACTATGCAAATCGGAGGTGCGGGGGGAATGACAACAAACGAAACACAACAAGCAGTTCTAAGAAATTGGTTTTCAATCTAGATATGATGCTGCATGCGATGCTGTGTGACACAGCTCACCTACATGGACGTGGTACTCTATGACGCTGTGTGTGACGTGTGTGACGCTGTCTTTGATCGATTGTCGGTTCTGAGCCATTCTCAGGCACCTTCATTCACACCGTTCAACCTGTACTGCCTTTCCTCACCGTTTAACTTAAACTCACCACCACCATTACCGTTTCTCACCGCTTCACCTCCACCACCACCTTTCCTCACTCTTTAACCTCACCACCACCAAATCTCATTTGTTGCTCCATTGTATGCAGCCACAAGCCCGAAAGTGGCTGACGGAAATGGAGACTTGGGGATGCCGGCACAGCCGAGCAGTGCGGCGTTAGTACCGGCACTGGTACCGGCGGTGGCGGCGCGGGGAGCAGTGCACAAGAAGCGGGACGGACTTGGCGTGTCTGGTCAGCAGCAGCAGCCATCCACAAGTGAGTCACCACCATTGAAAGGGGTCATTGAGCATTCAGGTCAGGGATGTTCGTGTGGTAGTGATGTGTAAGTGGTGATGTTGATAAGTGTTGATGTATTCGTGTTGGTGTGCTAGTTATGGCGTATATCATGGTTGGTTAGTTCGTGTTGATATGTAAGTGATCGCGTGTTGGTGAATTTGTGATGGGTTGTTCGTGTTAATGGTGGTGTTAGTGTTCGTGTATCAGAGGTAATGTGTTATTATTGGTATACCAGTTTTTTCAAGTGTCTGTATTAGTATCAGTGTGTGAAGAGTGTGTGTCGGTGTGTTAGTGTGGAAGTATTGGCACGTTGGTGTGTTAATCTTGGGGTGTTGGTGTGTTAGTAATACAGGTTTTTTGGGTTAGATCGCGTAAATATATAAATTTGTCGTTAAACCTGCCACCACCCGACACAGCCAATTAGTAAGGTTTGTTATGTAAACAAAGGAACGAAACAGGAGCATTTCTCCACAAATGTGGCTGTCGCCTGATGAAGCTGGTTGTAATTACTGGCGAAACGTCGTACTCAGATTATAAATGTTGTGGCTTTGCTCTCCAACACACTGGTGTGCTGTACTAGTAACAAATTGCCATGTTCTGTTTACGTGACAAACCTTACTAATTAGTTGTCGGGTGATGGTGGGTTTGACGACACATTTATATATTTACGCGATCTTTACGCAAAAACCTGTATCAAGGATGATATTGGTCGCGAAAGCCTACGTGTTAAACTGGTGTGTTAGTGTGGGCCTGTCCATGGGGACTTCTGATACTCCAGCCAGATTCTGACTGCACGCCTTCCCCGACCACCCTGCCCCTCGCAGCCATAATCATCGGCACCAATGGCAAACCATTCCACGTGCACCCGTGCAGCGTGTGCGGCAAAAAGTTCAAGACGCGGGGCTTCCTCAAGAAGCATATGAAGAACCATCCGGAGCAGACCACCCGCAAGAAGTACCGGTGCACCGACTGTGGCTATGGCACGGGCAAGAAGGCGAATTTCCACAGCCACCTCCAGAGCCACCGCCCGGCGCTACTGCTACCGGCGACGATGGCTGCGGCAGCCCTGGGTGGTTCGCGCCAGCACCGCGCCGAGATGCACAAGTGCCGCTCGTGCGACTACGAGACGGCCGAGCCGTCGCTGCTGAGTCGCCACCTCGTGGCCGTGCACAGCAAGAGCTTCCCGCACCGCTGCCCTGAGTGCGGCAAGGCCTTCCGTCACCCGTCGGAGCTGAACAAGCACGTGCGCATCCACACGGGTGAGAAGCCCTACGCCTGTGCCCTCTGCAACTACCGCAGCACCTGCGGCTCCAACCTGAAGGCTCACGTGCGGTGCAGGCACGGAGGGGCCAGCGCCGCGCTAATGCCACCGCCACCACCACCACCACCATTGTCATCGCATCGCCGCGGCAACAAGTGCAGCGTTGGACTTCTGTCGGACGGTGAAAGCCGGCAACGGCACTGCCGCACCGCCGCCGCCGCGGGCGCCGGCACTTTCCACTGCTACCACTGCGGTCACGTGAGTTTCAACAGCAACGCGCTGAAGCGCCACGTCATCTCGATGCACACCAAGGATTTTCCGCACACGTGCGCAGTCTGCGGTAAAGGCTTCCACCTGCCGTCGACGCTGCGCAAGCACGCGGCGCGGCACAAGGACCGGCGGCCGCTGCACGAGTGCCGGCACTGTGGCTTCCAGAGCGGCGACCCGTTCGCGCTGAGCCGGCACATCCTGTCGGTGCACACGAAGAAGGAGGAGGAGGAGGGGGAGGAGGAGGATGCAGCGCTTGTGTGTAAGCGCTGCCACAAGTCGTTCCGGCAGAGGGGTGAGCTGAAGAAGCACATGAGGAAGGTGCACAAGTGCAATAAGCTGTACGAGTGCGAATTCTGCGATTACACGACGAGCGATGCGTCGGGCTTCAAGCGCCACGTCATCTCCATCCACACCAAGGACTACCCGCACCGCTGTGAGCTCTGCGACAAGGGCTTCCGACGTCCATCCGAGAAGAAGCAGCATGTCCTCAAGCAGCACAAGGACGTGAAGCTGTACGTGGTGCAGCAGTCGGTGCCGCAGTAGCGTTGCACTCGGTTATCACCCTTCCTCCTGTCTCCTCCGCTCTGTGAGTGGAGGTGGAGTTTGTGATCTGGCCAGTGGTGCCAACTCATGATTTGTCGCAAGGAAGAAAAATCTTGCACACATGTGGACTGTGTAATGCGTTCCAACGTGCGATTGTTTCTAGAAGTATTTAATTCGCGTTAATAACGTTACGCTCTGAGACTTGCAACGAGATGGCATCCCAGAATATCGCGTCGGTGTGAATCTGCAGGGGCTGCTCACATGAACAGAGTGAACGCTCTGCATTCTGGAGTGACTGAGTGGTGAATGCATACCGGTTGCACAGGTTTGCCTGGTTGTTCTCCTGCCCCACTGTCTGGAGGACGCATTGTTTCTAACAACAGCACAAAGCACAATCGGGGCCGTAGGCCAGCATGGGTGAAAGGTACTGATTATGCCTCATGCAGTGGAAGCGAATGTCCAGTTGCCAGGTTCCTCCACTGCTAGCTGAGACTCGGTTTGGCTGCCCCTGCGCAGGCATCGGGAGCTCACCGAGTTGTGTCCCATGATGCCGTGCGGCCTCAAAATGAGAGAAACTCATGTGACCAGACCTGGAGATCAATGACAATTGTAACTGTGCAATTGGTAGTGAATTGCAATCATAATGTAATAGTAAATATTTTAAGTTAACATTGCTTTTGTAATTATAATTCACTCCAGGTTTTCCATGTGACAGTACTTTGACAAATGAACTGCTATTAATCTGTTGCAGACACTTTAAATTCAGAATCTTTAAAGATAAAATAACATGCATGTTGTTACTGACATGTGTAGAGAGTGGTTAGCATGGTACTGCACTATGAATCCGGGGACCCGAGTTCTGATTACCTGCCATGGCTCACATTTGTGGTGAGTGACGTGTGAACTGGTTCTGAGCTCATCACGCTTCAACTGTGTGGAATGTCCGTCTCCGCACAGGACGCACCTATCCCTGCCCTTGCATACGTGCATTTGTTGTTGTGCGAATAATGCTGCGTCTTATTTTCATAAGCTCTTACTACGAGTGAATGCTTACACGCAGTATGGAAGAAATATATCAAATATAAAGGGTTAACTCTTTTTTTCCTCCGATTGAGTTTTATAGCGTTTGGAAATGTGTGGAGACTTTTTAAGGGCTCGATGACTTGAATGAACCCTAAATCAGTACGTTTTACCGCGGACACGTTTAAATGTACATAATGTGTATACGCATATCTCTATATATGTTTGTGTGTTTCGTAATAATAAATGTGGAATTCCCAATCCATTTCGGTGACGTGAATGTTCCGTGAGTGCTTAAGAGAGCTGTGTTTAGGGGTAGTTGTGCTCGGGTCATGAGTAAGATTGTGCCCATAGTCGAATGGTCCATGTGAGAGGTGTATTGGGTCATAGGCGTACTCGTATTCGGGCGGCGTGAATGATGAATACAGTGAGGTTTGTGTTCTCGTTTGAGCACCACTGCCCGCACTATTGCTCCTTGTTGAAATCACGACTGTATCTTAGCCTACTTGGCCTGCCAAGTCTCCCTTGCCGAAGGAAGTTCTCAAGGGCACTGAATTGATGCGTGTATCATGTGACAAACGTTAGCGACCGCCGTGCAGTTGGAATACTGACAAGTGGAGCACTGCTATGAATCTGATACACTTTAAATTTTGAATCTTTAAAGGTAACCAAACATGCCAGTTGTAACTGGCATCCATGTGTAGGTTGGGAAAAAGGGTATCGCGGTTATCATGCAGAGCTATAAACCCGGCTCCACGAGTTTGATTCCCGGCCATGGCTAACATCATTGGTGAGTGATATCTAAGCCGGTCCTGAGCGCCCCCACCACTTCACCACCTTGCACGGACCACCGTGTTGAAGTTTCGTGACTGCAGGAATTAATATTCTTTGGTTCTTTCGGTAAAGTTACGTAGATAGAAAAATAAAAATAAAGTGAATAAAAATAAGTTAAATAATAACCAGGCTACAGTCTACATTATAGACTGCCAGTACACTCACCCAGCTTAATACCAGGCTATAGTCTAGATTATAGACTGCCAGTACACTCACCCAGCTTAATAACCAGGCTACAGTCTACATTATAGACTGCCAGTACACTCACTCAGGTTAATAACCAGCCTACAGTCTACATTATAGACTGCCAGTACACTCATCCAGCTTAATAACCAGGCTACAGTCTACATTATAGACTGCCAGTACACTCACCCAGCGTAATAACCAGGCTACAGTCTACATTATAGACTGCCACTCAGGTTAATAACCAGGCTACAGTCTACATTATAGACTGCCAGTCAGCTTAATAACCAGGCTACAGTCTACATTATAGACTGCCAGTACACTCACTCAGGTTAATAACCAGCCTACAGTCTACATTATAGACTGCCAGTACACTCACCCAGCTTAATAACCAGGCTACAGTCTACATAGACTGCCAGTACGCTCCACCTTTCGCCTGGCCACCATGCCAGGGTCTCGTGGATGTTTCCATTTGCCACACAAACACGCTCGGTGACGTCGTCTTCCAAGGACATAGTTCTGACATGGTGTAGCGATACACTTCACATGATGACAGCTAAATATACACACAATGTAACTGGTGTTGACCAAACATCCCAATGAAAAAACTAAATAACTGCAAATTACTCAATTGGGATTACACACAGCAGCATCACCCCTACTATGAAAACTTAACAGGGCCCTCCTGAAAAAGAGTATTTTCATGGAGGCGTTCCTCTGTAAACAAGTGTAGTAATAGTTCTACTGTCGGTAGCATATTTGGAATATCGGCAAAAAAGAAGCAACAATGATTCAAAATAATGTGTTTACTTGATTTTGCGTAAATCAGGAACAAAACTCTGTATCCGTATGACTGAGTAGATGCCCAAATTGAGACTAGTGGACCTTAATTAAAATATTTAACTTGGATAATTCCTTGAGATGGAACATCTTGTGTACAAGGGAGTCCAGGGAGTCAATTAACACATAGCAAACATGGCACGTGTGCGAACATTTGTTCAGGTGGACCTGGTATTGAAATAGCAGTGCAAATCATAATGCATATACAAAAGAGGCAGAAAATACCATTTCAGAAATTGACAATATGGGAATAAATCTTTGACTTAACTTTCGTGACTGCAGGAATTCATATTCTTTGGTAATTTCGGTAAAGTCACGTAGATAAAAACAAAATTATACTAAATTAAAACAAATGATGACTGCTTGTGTTGCGGTCGAAACGTCGTGCTTTTTATTTTAATGTTTTCTATCTACGTGATTTTACCGAAAGAACCAAAGAATATGGGAATTAAACATTAGCAATAAATACCAATTTAGATGACAACACCACTGAATATGTGCGTACCATTCTTGTACCTTATACAATTATTTTACAATGGTTAAATTGTCAGTACAATGCTGTGACTTTTGGTTTTGTGAAAGCTGAGACCGGACTGGCTGTGGAATTCTAATTTAACGTATTATCGTGAAATGGTGCTGTGATCGCGTTTTTCTTTGTGACTGCTGCCCCAGCCTGAGAACTGTTGTGTCAATACGAGGCAGTGTTTTTACGAGGCTCGTGTTGTTGAGCCATATGGTCTCTCTGTTCTCTTTGTATATGAAAAAGGGCAATGCAGGGACGGAGCACGAATGTTTAATTACGTTGTACATATTTACAGTAATACATTTATTGGAAAAAGTATCAGGTTTAGCATGCCAGCTGACTTGTACAACTGAGTTTTCAGTTGGATCCGTTGCAGTTTATTTGACTAATAATTTGGAAAATAGATTGAATGGATAGAAAATTATACCTTAAAATATCACTCAAGACCACTACAAACGATTGTAACGCGTGACTCGTTAAAAATAAATGTGTGTAAAACGCCTGGTGACCGATTCATCCCACCTTGAGATTTCATCATCACGATTCAGATCCAAGAACTTGTTGATGTTTCTGTTGTGAATGTAGCAGCGATTGATGGTACCAGGGGTCACGTTAACCAATTACCATCGGAATTTGTCTCGCCACTGCTGTACAAGCGCCTCCCCATGCCTTTACCTTCCCATCTCCCGCACGACATAAGCTGATATCATCGCTCCATCTCCGTGATGGTCATCATCCATTGTCGCGATGTGCCCTGCCCAAGCCTTATTCCTTAACCTCCTTCAATACGAGGGGTGACCTGGCCGAGATGATGGGTGACCTGGCCGAGATGATGTCCACTGTGGAAGCTTGGTGGTTTGGAGATTAAGCCGGGTAGATTGTTGATGATAATCGAAACCCGTAACTGATATTCCTTACCATGCTAGGCTTGCACCTCCATCACTCACCACCACTCACTCACCCGAAGACACATTGGTGGTCTCTCATGGATTACCCATCTTCAGTTTGATTTTCTAATTAAATATTAACAGACTAAGTTGGCATTTGCAAATTGCAAAACACACTACACCCACCAACAACACGTATTTATAACACGCACATGTACAGCAAGTCTGTTTGCCAATCAACTGTTGAATATGGGCTTCCCACGCTGTGCTGGTCGTGGGTATTGTTTTAACCATACTTCACCTCCGATTCGCACGGTTCGCGACTTACGAAAGCAGTTCAACATACCACGCTGAGGATCAGTGCGGGTTTATGAAGGGAGCACAGTGGATATTTGCCGTTCTCCACCCTGTTGGCAAGCTTTCCACAATAAAGTATATCTATGAGGATGACGTTTCAGACAATAGCCCTCCTTCCACTTAGAGTGGACAGGGAAGTTGATCGGAAACAGCAGTGTCTTACACTGGTACTCTAAACGCAATGGAATATTTAACTAGAGCTGAACTTTAATTTAATGTCCAGCAGCCCCTTATCAATCTTCCTCTCACCCCGTGCGCGGGTCAAGTCGTTATTTGACCATTCACTACGCTGGCCAGTGCGGGCACGTAACTACAGTACATTAAACATCTTTAAATAAAATCGAAATGCATAATATGCTTGCTTAAATGTATCAAAGTGTAATCTACCGAGGCCGTGGTCGAAGCGTTTCAATACAGTACTGTCATAATCAGGGCTTAATGTCGGAGCTGGCCTGGGCTGACCCTGGGAAGACGTTTTCGCTGAGATTGATAGTGAAGGGGAGTCAAATACTCGAAGATCTCACGAGAAATTCATCTTCTCATGATGACGTCACAAAGCACTGGCATCATCACGGAGCTGTCAACACACGTGGCGGGCGTGTGTCACGTGACTGGAGGCTCGGCCTCGCACGTCGCCCCGTGTCACGTGACCGAACGGCGAGGAAGGGGAGGGGCTCCCCCCCGCTCCCCCCCCCCTCCTCCTGCTATCTGCGAGTCGCCGCGCTGCGTGTGGCCGCTGCTGTTGTTGTTGTTGTTGCTGCTGCTGTTGTTGTTCTGTGGTGCCGCAAGCGCAGAGGGGAGACGCGCGGGGCTTCTTCTCTCCCATCCTCGCTTCTCGTCTCCATCGACGGCAGTCGCTGCAGCCGGTGGGGTGCTGCGTGGTGGCCTCGCTCAGCCGGTAGCCAGGACGACCTCCTCCACTCCTGGAGGCCCCGTGTGGAGGCCCCGTGAGGAGGCCCCCCGTGAGGAGGGAGCCCCCCGTGAGGAGGGAGCCCCCCGTGAGGAGGGAGCCCCCCGTGAGGAGGGAGCCCCCCGTGAGGAGGGAGCCCCCCGTGAGGAGGGAGCCCCCCGTGAGGAGGGAGCCCCGCTCGCGATGCGGCTGCTGCGCTGCCTGCGGCGCGCCGCCTCTGCGCTGAAGTCGCTGCAGTCGCAGGTGGAGTTCTACTCGCGCTTCTCGCCCTCGCCCCTCTCCATCAAACAGTTCCTCGACTTCGGTGAGGACCCGCGCCCCCCACTCGCTCGCCCCCCACTCGCCCCCCACTCGCCCCCCCACTCGCCCCCCCACTCGCTCGCCCCCCACTCGCTCGCCCCCCACTCGCTCGCCCCCCACTCGCTCGCCCCCCACTCGCTCGCCCCCCACTCGCTCGCCCCCCACTCGCTCGCCCCCCACTCGCTCGCCCCCCACTCGCTCGCCCCCCACTCACTCGCCCCCCACTCGCGCACATCGCACGCGGCAGGACACACGCGGCGCGCTCTGCTCCGTTTCTGATTTATTGTAAATTAATGGGGAAAAAACCGGGGTTGCCTGCGCGTGTGTCCCATGCGGTGACTTGCACAGACTGACATGTGCACGTTCGCGCGTGCCGTGACTAGAATGCCACTGGGAATGGTGACTGGTTAAATGATTTTTAAAAGGTTCCCCGTTTTCGTGTAACAACCTTACTGAACACAAGCGTGTACATAGTGCATATCTATACACACCTTCTTCATCTTCACACACTCTGTATGTGGACACCATCAGCCATGGCCATCCCACTGCTGAATGAGAGGGTTGTTTACCATACTTCATGCTTGGTCGAGCAACCCGAAGACACTCGCACGTGCACCCACGTGGACATCACGCAGTGTGCACCCTGCACACTGCAGGGTGCTCCCACATGGGCATCACGCATCCTGCAGTGTGCATCCTGCAGTGTGCATCACGCAGTGTACACCCACATGGTCATCGTGCAGTGTGCATCCTGCAGTGTGCATCACGCAGTGTGCACCCACATGGTCATCGTGCAGTGTGCATCACGCAGTGTGCATCACGCAGTGTGCATCACGCAGTGTGCACCCACAAGGTCATCGTGCAGTGTGCATCACGCAGTGTGCATCACGCAGTGTACACCCACATGGTCATCGTGCAGTGTGCATCCTGCAGTGTGCATCACGCAGTGTACACCCACATGGTCATCCTGCAGTGTGCATCCTGCAGTGTGCATCACGCAGTGTACACCCACATGGTCATCGTGCAGTGTGCATCACGCAGTGTGCACCCACATGGTCATCCTGCAGTGTGCACTCCTGCGCGGTGGCTGCACACACACACGAGGGGTTTAATTCCCCACTTTTTATATTCTCCGGGTTGCTGGAGGCCTGGGGTAGGTGGCACGTGCCGCGTCGTGTACCCGAGTCGTGGTGTACTGGATGTGTGGTGTACTGGATGTGTGGTGTACTGGATGTGTGGTGTACTGGATGTGTGGTGTACTGGATGTGTGGTGTACTGGATGTGTGGTGTACTGGATGTGTGGTGTACTGGTTGTGGGGTGTACTGGATGTGTGGTGTACTGGATGCGTGGTGTACTGGATGCGTGGTGTACTGGATGCGTGGTGTACTGGATGCGTGGTGTACTGGATGCGTGGTGTACTGGATGCGTGGTGTACTGGATGCGTGGTGTACTGGATGCGTGGTTGTATGCGTGGTGACTGATGCGTGGTGTACTGGATGCGTGGTGTACTGGATGCGTGGTGTACTGGATGCGTGGTGTACTGGATGCGTGGTGTACTGGATGCGTGGTGTACTGGATGCGTGGTGTACTGGATGCGTGGTGTACTGGATGCGTGGTGTACTGGATGCGTGGTGTACTGGATGCGTGGTGTACTGGATGCGTGGTGTACTGGATGCGTGGTGTACTGGATGCGTGGTGTACTGGATGCGTGGTGTACTGGATGCGTGGTGTACTGGTGGCGTGGTGTACTGGATGCGTGGTGTACTGGATGCGTGGTGTACTGGATGCGTGGTGTACTGGATGCGTGGTGTACTGGATGCGTGGTGTACTGGATGCGTGGTGTACTGGATGCGTGGTGTACTGGATGCGTGGTGTACTGGATGCGTGGTGTACTGGATGCGTGGTGTACTGGATGCGTGGTGTACTGGATGCGTGGTGTACTGGATGCGTGGTGTACTGGATGCGTGGTGTACTGGATGCGTGGTGTACTGGATGCGTGGTGTACTGGATGCGTGGTGTACTGGATTGCGTGGTGTACTGGATGCGTGGTGTACTGGATGCGTTGGGGTGACTGGATGCTGGTGTACTGGATGCGTTGGTGTACTGGATGCGTGGTGTACTGGATGCGTGGTGTACTGGATGCGTGGTGTACTGGATGCGTTGGTGTACTGGATGCGTGGTGTACTGGATGCGTGGTGTACTGGATGCGTGGTGTACTGGATGCGTGTGTGTACTGGATGCGTGGTGTACTGGATGCGTGGTGTACTGGATGCGTGGTGTACTGGGATGCGTGGTGTACTGATGCGTGGTGTACTGGATTCGTGGTGTACTGGATGCGTGGTGTACTGATGCGTGGTGTACTGGATGCGTGGTGTACTGGATGCGTGTGTACTGGATGCGTTGTGTACTGGATGCGTGGTGTACTGGATGCGTGGTGTACTGGCTGCGTGGTGTACTGGATGCGTGGTGTACTGGATGCGTGGTGTACTGGATGCGTGGTGTACTGGATGCGTGGTGTACTGGTGCGTGTTGTACTGGATGCGTGGTGTACTGGATGCGTGGTGTACTGGATGCGTGGGTTACTGGATGCGTGGTTATGCGTGGGGTACTGGAGGCGTGGTGTACTGGATGCGTGGTGTACTGGATGCGTGGTGTACTGATGCGTGGTGTACTGGATGCGTGGTGTACTGGATGCTGGTGTACTGGATGCGTGGTGTACTGGATGCGTGGTGTACTGGATGCGTGGTGTACTGGATGCGTGGTTGTACTGGATGCGTGGTGTACTGGATGCGTGGTGTACTGGATGCGTGGTGTACTGGATGCGTGGTGTACTGGATGCGTGGTGTACTGGATGCGTGGTGTACTGGATGCGTGGTGTACTGGATGCGTGGTGTACTGGATGCGTGGTGTACTGGATGCGTGGTGTACTGGATGCGTGGTGTACTGGATGCGTGGTGTACTGGATGCGTGGTGTACTGGATGCGTGGTGTACTGGATGCGTGGTGTACTGGATGCGTGGTGTACTGGATGCGTGGTGTACTGGATGCGTGGTGTACTGGATGCGTGGTGTACTGGATGCGTGGTGTACTGGATGCGTGGTGTACTGGATGCGTGGTGTACTGGATGCGTGTGGTGTACTGGATGCGTGGTGTACTGGATGCGTGGTGTACTGGATGCGTGGTGTACTGGATGCGTGGTGTACTGGATGCGTGGTTGAGTGTATGGATGCGTGGTGTACTGGATGCGTGGTGTACTGGATGCGTGGTGTACTGGATGCGTGGTGTACTGGATGCGTGGTGTACTGGATGCGTGGTGTACTGGATGCGTGGTGTACTGGATGCGTGGTGTACTGGATGCGTGGTGTACTGGATGCGTGGTGTACTGGATGCTGGTGCTGATGCGTGGTGTACTGGATGCGTGGGTGTACTTGGATGCGTGGTGTACTGATGCGTGGTGTACTGGATGCGGGTGTACTGGATGCGTGGTGTAATGGATGCGTGGTGTACTGATGCGTGGTGTACTGGATGCGTGGTGTACTGGATGCGTGGTGTACTGGATGCGTGGTGTACTGGATGCGTGGTGTACTGGATGCGTGGTGTACTGGATGCGTGGTGTACTGGATGCGTGGTGTACTGGATGCGTTGTGTACTGGATGCGTGTGTACTGGATGCTGGTGCGGTTGTGGTGTACTGGATGCGTGGTGTACTGGATGCGTGGTGTACTGGATGCTGGTGTACTGGATGCGTGGTGTACTGGATGCGTGGTGTACTGGATGCGTGGTGTAACTGGATGCGTGGTGTACTGGAGCGTGGTGTACTGGATGCGTGGTGTACTGGATGCGTGTGTACTGGATGCGTGGTGTACTGGATGCGTGGTGTACTGGATGCGTGGTGTAACTGGATGCGTGGTGTACTGGATGCGTGGTGTACTGGATGCGTGGTGTACTGGATGCGTGGTGTACTGGATGCGTGGTGTACTGGATGCGTGGTGTACTGGATGCGTGGTGTACTGGATGCGTGGTGTACTGGATGCGTGGTGTACTGGATGCGTGGTGTACTGGATGCGTGGTGTACTGGATGCGTGGTGTACTGGATGCGTGGTGTACTGGATGCGTGGTGTACTGGATGCGTGGTGTACTGGATGCGTGGTGTACTGGATGCGTGGTGTACTGGATGCGTGGTGTACTGGATGCGTGGTGTACTGGATGCGTGGTGTACTGGATGCGTGGTGTACTGGATGCGTGGGTGTACTGGATGCGTGGTGTACTGGATGCGTGGTGTACTGGATGCGTGGTGTACTGGATGCGTGGTTGTACTGGATGCGTGGTGTACTGGATGCGTGGTGTACTGGATGCGTGGTGTACTGGATGCGTGGTGTACTGGATGCGTGGTGTACTGGATGCGTGGTGTACTGATGCGTGGTGTACTGGATTGCGTGGTGTACTGGATGCGTGGTGTACTGGATGCGTGGTGTACTGGATGCGTGGTGTACTGGATGCGTGGTGTACTGGATGCGTGGTGTACTTGGATGCGTGGTGTACTGGATGCGTGGTTACTGGATGCGTGGTGTACGGATGCGTGTGTAAAGGATGCGTGGTGGTACTGGATGCGTTGGTGTGTACTGGATGCGTGGTGTACTGGATGCGTGGTGTACTGGATGCGTGGTGTACTGGATGCGTGGTGTACTGGATGCGTGGTGTACTGGATGCGTGGTGTACTGGATGCGTGGTGTACTGGATGCGTGGTGTACTGGATGCGTGGTGTACTGGATGCGTGGTGTACTGGATGCGTGGTGTACTGGATGCGTGGTGTACTGGATGCGTGGTGTACTGGATGCGTGGTGTACTGGATGCGTGGTGTACTGGATGCGTGGTGTACTGGATGCGTGGTGTACTGGATGCGTGGTGTACTGGATGCGTGGTGTACTGGATGCGTGGTGTACTGGATGCGTGGTGTACTGGATGCGTGGTGTACTGGATGCGTGGTGTACTGGATGCGTGGTGT